TTATTAGTTAGTAGGTTTAGGAATAATTTTTTATTAGGTGATACGACTTTAGCCTGTCATGGGCTTGTTGGTGGTGGTGTGCGGCCAAGGAGATGCGGAGGAGAGAGAAAGGGGAAACTTTTGGGATTCATAATTGGGTTTAATTGCTGAAATTTTGTGGATATTCTTACAATTAAAATTGAGATAAAATTTGATTGGTTTCTTGCTTTATTTATAGGTGAAAATGGTGAAGAAATCAAATTAAGCTTCAATGTTGATTGGTTGATTTGGGTGGTGCTTCTAATGGTTGAGAAGAACTTGATAATGGTGATGGAGAGGATGAACTCCAAGTGTAAGAAAATATTTTTACCATTAGATTAATAGACTAGGGGAGGTAACATTTGGAGAGGTAAATTGAAAGAATCTTCCATAGTTATGGTGTATGAACATCATACGTTGATGTTGTTGATTGGGGAAGATGGGGTGGGTTTCTATTTTCTTTTTCCTTTAATTTTGTGGCTACAAAAATCTGATTTAGGTTATGTGTAAAATGGACTTCAAAGTATTCTTATGGGCTAGAGAAAAGTGATAGTAAGTCAATGGCCCAATAACTATGGTCATGGTTCAGAAAAGGGTTTAGACTCATAGAAATTTTTATCACTTTAAAGTCTTAAAATAATAACTTTATTAATAAAGTTTAGCAAATTATAATTTTCTTAATAAATCACTTTGAAATCACAAAAGTTTAGAAACTATTTATAAATAAATAACTCAAAATATCTTAGGGAACACACCTTAAAATAAAGTGTATAATATAATTTGAATAAATAAAGGTAAAAATCTTGTAAGAAAATAACTTTTCTATAAGGGAAATTAATTAAACCCAAATTAAAACATATTTAAATCTAATAAATATGATTAAAATTAATTAAATAGGCTTAAAAATATGGGGTATTACAAAACATATGTAAAAGTCAATTCTTCATTATTGGAAATCCCCACATTACATATACCACATGAAAATAATCATGACTCGGGTAACAAAATAGGGAGTATCAACCAAATTCTTGGGTTGCTTTTCTATAGCTAGAGGAGTGGGGGACCAGATTGTATCTTGGCTTCCCACTAATTTTCTATAGGTTGTATAACTTTGTATGGTTTTGAGATATAATAATAATAATAATAATAATAATAATAATAATAATAGTAAAAAAAAAAAAAAAAAAAAAAAGAACGAAAAGCCAAATGTTAATCACTAGTCAATTCCTAAGCCATGCTCGGTTTTTTAATTGTTGATAATTGAAATATTGAAATTTCTAGAGAAATATAACATAATAAACACACCATGTGGCCGGCAAGCCCACACCATAACACTGACCAGGTAATCCTGAATGAGTAATCCCTATCTGAGTAAGTCCTGATTGACCAAATAACCCCTAATCGATTAAGTAACCTTTGACCAAATAACTCTTGATCGATAAACCCCTAATTTTAAGTAATCTCCGACCAAACATTGTGGTTAGTTACATATAAACTTTGTAAAAGGTATTTCCCTATCTTATCCCTACCTTATAAATCCCTACCTTATAAAAAGTATAAAACTACTCTTATGAATAGTGTGATGCCAAATTTATCCCTTAAAAAGTGTATTTACATATGTACCCTTATTAATATGTACAAGTTTCTATTAATGAAAAGTATTTGGACAATTATATCCTTAAAAATATTTATTTACTTATTTTCTATCATAAATGTTAGTAACCATGGTGTTTTTTAAAAAAATAAAGTTGTCTTTGACAATTAAACCCCTAAATATAGTTGTTACATATCAACAACTAAATTCATAATTTAAGGTCAAACCAAAAGAACTTTCGAATATGGCTAGATATGGCGCAGGCATCGCGCGCGTTAGCTGTCCTATTATAAGCAAATGTAGTATTGCCTTACACAACCACAAGTCCACAACGATTATAAAATCCATATAATCATTTGAGAGCCACAAACACTGGACCGCTAGAGTAAGTCCAAGGCCTTATTATTTATGCTGCGCTGGACCATTACAAAGAAGGCCTGGCCTGATTCACGCCTAATAAATCACTATCACAGAATTTCTTATACACTTCATCAGGCCCGTTTCTGAGATTTCGGTGGCCTGGGGCAAAAACATAAATCGGGGCCCTAATTCACATATACTATATATATAAATTTTTTTAAAAATTGGGTATGCAAAAATATTTTATTATGATCAATAATATTTATAAACATCAAATTTCATATAACATTGAAATTACATTCTCGTAACTCTCGTTGAAGTAATTACACCAGCCAAACCATTCAAACCAAGTATCCAACCCATCCATTATATTTTTTTAATACAAAGAAAATATAATTTAATACAAAGAAGAGATCTTGATGAATAAAGTCGTGTATGCACCTGTAGACACCCATTTGTGTCTCCCCAAAACCAAACTCAGTGATGAGTGCCTTTCACGTCGAATCATAATCGAATGAAACGAAAGTGTGGAAAGGTCTAGTGTTGCGGAAAGTTTTATTTTCTTTTCTTTTCTCTTCTCTCTGTTTTTGAAAACTTTATTTTAAGAAAACAGTCAATCCAGTTTGGTTGGTCCATGATATGGGTCCAATAGTGGTGTAGTTGGATGGGGCTTGCAAAGACCTTTCCAAAGATATATTATAAGCCCAATTCTGATGAATGTTGAGGAATTTATGGCCAATTTACTAAACTGGGCCCGGTTTGAGTTTTAAGTACGGCCCAATGATCTAGGGGAGGGCCTAATATGATTTATCATTTCTAATGTAATTAGGAATGGTTTTGGTCTTCTAGAACATTCTAGAAGGTCTTATCATTCTTAATTCAATTAGGACTCTTCAGAGTTTTAATTAGATCAAATAGCATTTTCGACTGAAATTATATTATTTTATCTTCCAGTACAGTAAAATTATCAGATTTTTGAAAACGCGTTAAAATCCGGTTTGGCGTCCAACCCCAGGCCTTGGCGTCTGGAATCAGGATTGGCGCCAGACGCCAGCCATTGGCGCCTGGCGCTAGCCACTGGTCCTGGCGCCAATGAGCCTGGGGTGGCGCCAAGTTAGTTTTTCGATCTTCAGACTCTGTTTTGATAAATTATCTTTTTTGGATGTTTTTCTCTATAAATATCGTATCAAAAACTCCGTTTTCATTCATCATCTACAATCAACATTCATCAACAATCACTTTATGATTCACCAGTTCTCTTTATTCTTAAGTTTTCATTAACTCTCTTCATTCATCTTCATCATTCATTCATCAATTTTCAATAACATTAATTCTTTAGCATTCTTTTTTAATACTTTACTTTTTCATACAAAATTCCGCATTCACAAGATCTTGATATACCTAGCCATATTCGAAGTTGCCTTCGCCCTAAACGTGAAAGGTTTTAATTTCTGAGGGTTTGGTCCCAAATCTCTATTTCAATTATTTAATTTAATTGTTTGTTTATTGTTTTCCTTGAAGTTACTAATGTGTGTATTTTGTTATTAGAAAGAGGTACGAGGCATCCAAGTAAGTACTTTAATGGTTTAATTGATATTATGATATAGAAATCATGCTTAGATTGTTATTTTGATTCCAAGTATCATGTCTAGGGTAACTTTAATATCAAGTATGATTAAAAGTATGATGTCTTTTATTCTCTTCCTAATATTTATGATTGTTAGTATCATGTTAGGGCTAAAGATTTGATTTTTATTGCTTAGTGACATGCAAGGATTTGTTATTAATCTTGTTAGTATCATGCCTAGGATCTTGCTATTTTTATTATGCTTTAATATTGACATGAACATGATAATTATTATAATTGTTATTATTTATGATCATTATTATTTTAATGATGATTATTTATTATTATTATTTTAACGATGATTATTTTATTTATGAATATTATTATTATTATTATTATTATTATTATTATTATTTTGATAATGATAATTTTATTTATGATTATTATTATTATTATTAATGATGTTGATTATTTATTATGTTGCTTGATACATATTATTTTATTCTTTATTGCTTGATCACACCTTTTATGCATGTTTAAAGGGAATTTGTACTTATAATCACGCTTAATAAGATATTAATAATCTTGTTAGGGTTAATTGTGATTATAATTCAAGTAATCGCCAATAATAGTTTATCTGTGCATTAATATTCAACCAGCATAGATTAAACAGGTTTAGGATTAATCCCATTGATTGTATGTTAGTCAGAAAGCGCACATGAATACGAGCAGAATAAAGTAGAGGCCTATTATTAGGGCAGGTTCAATCTCTTTTAGGTTGGATTTGTACCATCATCCCCGAACCCTCATTTGGTTCATGACCTTATGGAGTTGACGATCTCTTGGATCGTTAAGTGGTGTAACCTTCACCTCGTGAACGGTTTACAAGTTCTTTAAAAACTTGTTGGCGACTCTTTTGCTCTATCTTCTTCCTTTTTGGACGCCACCGTACTTTAGTGTATGATCACAGTGGGGTTCAAGCTAGTGGGATTTTAAAGGCTTGAAATTATTCCCTACAACACCGTTCAAAAATAAAAGTAGGGTATGCAAAGAGAATTTTATATAATTAGATTAATCACGTTGAAAATTTAAGAGTAAAATGATCGTTTATTATAGTTTTCATCTTTAATTGAATTGCGATAGAGAAGGAATTTAACTAACTGAAAATTGTAATGAAATACATTTTGAAAAATAAAATTACCAAAAATAGGGATACAATTAAAATTAAACTTTTTTTTGTTAATCAAATTCACTTGGGAAAGTGAATAAGTTTAAAAATTAGGGATGAAATACATTTACCAAAAATGCCATTTGATATTCTGGAATACTACAGTACTATTGTAGTGTTGTATAGTACATACTTCTGGCTTTCTTTCTTTCTCTTTTTTTTTGCTAAATGTATATACACGTAATATTATTTAGTATGAAGTATATTTATTTGAGGCCTTATATTGTATTGAAATTGAGCTTTTTAACAAGGGGCCCAGAGCAGCCGCCCCAACTGCCCTCCCCTTGCTACGGCCCTGCACTTCATATAGACACATACCATCCAAATACAAAGCATCTGGATTTTGAGCATATCTAATAGATAGTGAGATTAGTGAGGAAAAAGCAAAGAAATGGATGCTGCTAATAAGAACCAAAGTATAACAGTAGGAAAATCAATATTAGTACCAAGTGTTCAAGAGCTAGCCAAAGGATCACTAGCAAAAGTTCCAGAAAGATATGTTCAGATTAATCAAAACCCTTCGATTATACAAGCTGATAATGATCTTCAAGTTCCAATTATCAACTTTGAAAAGTTGATCAATAAAGATGGCTTTGAGTTGGAGAAGTTCCATTCAGCATGCCAAGATTGGGGCTTTTTCCAGGTACTTTTGATTTTACTTGAATATATTCTTTCTTGATCACAACACTTTATTAGATCAGTGCATAATATGACCCATCACGGCTTGTTTTGACCCTTTTATTATGGCTCGGCTTGTGATCCTGGTCTGATCTGTTTAGTTCATATACATGCATGATATTTGACACATTTTCCTTTTGAAGTCATATTTTTCAATACCGATAGTGACTGGCTATTTGTATTTTCGTACGTACATTTCAGTGTGTCTAGATTTTATTTTTTTTATTTTTTAATATCTTTATGGTATGGAGAAGGATCCTATTGGGTCGGACCTGTAATCCGACCCGACTCGGATTAGCGGACTAGACAATTTGAAAGTGGGGGGAAAGGTAAGGGAATGCCACTCCAAATTGCCTCTAGTGGGATTTGATCCAATAAACTTTTGGTTGTGAGGTGGTTTTGCCACCTCACTTGACCAAGCTTTGCTTGGTTTTCACTGTGCCTAGATTCGGTTCAGATGTATTTTTAACAAAATAAATTTTGTTTTTACTAAATACGAAGTATAGATATAGTCAAATTTATACGACACTTTCTCCATTTTTCTTTTGATTTTAATTTTTTGACTTTTTCGCTTAGCTTTTCAATACACAATTTCTATCCTTTCTATCTCTAATTACAGAAATAATGATTAAAAAAATATCTCGCATGATTATATTTTACCCAACATATAAATCTAATAGGACAGTACAGAATGAATTATGTAAATGAATTCCGACTGTTGCAACTATAAAAGAACCCTAAGAGTGAAGAAAGTAATAATAGATTCGTTTTGTTTCTTAAATGCATTACTTGGATTTGCGTATTTGCCCTAAAAAAAATTTTCGGATTTTTTTGAAAATAACACCACATATTTTGAAAAAAATGGATTATAACACCACCTTTTCTCGAATTTATATTATAACACCACATAAAAATAAAAATAACAAAAGGTTTCACCACCTACTAACGGATTCCATCCAAGATTCGTTTGTGGGGCTCACTTTTGATACATGTCACTCATCTATTGGATTAAAAAAAAAATTATTTTTTTTTTAAAAAAAAAGAAAAATCCTAAAATGCTAAACCAGCCACCACCGCCGGTGGGTTCCCACCACCGTCACCCAAACCTAACCCCCGAAGCTCCGAGACCGTCGTTGAACCACCGTCGTCACCATACCCTGCCCCAAAACCTCCGATGCCGTCACCACACCATCGAAACCCCAACCTAAACTAGCCGAAACCCCAGCCCACACCGTCGTCGAACCACCGTCAGCCGAAACCTAACCCAACCCAGCCGAAACCTCCCAGCCGCTTCGCTTCCTCCTCGAAAAACCACCCCTGTACTTCCGCTTCACCTTCAAACCGGTCGAAAACCACTTTCGAAGCCCAAGCTGGATCGATTTTGCTGTGAGGCGACGACATGGGTGGTTTTTGGTGGTTCGTGGTAAGGGTTTGCACGGATTGATTGGTGGGATTTGTGCGCGGGGAGGGGGGCTGTGGTGGGTGGGGATGATGGGCGGTGATTTCGCCGGTGAAGGAAGGGTTGTCGGCGTCAGTAGGAGTCTCCGGCTGTGGAGTCGCGGCCGCTGGTGGTGGGCTAGTGGCTGGGTGAGGGTTATAGGGTGTTTTTCTTTTTTTTTTTTTTAAAAATTTTATCTTTATTTTTTAAACCAATGTCTTATTGCCACGTGTCTATCTTGGGTCCCACTAACGGATTTCATCCAAAATTCAGTTAGAAGGTGGTGAAATCCAATTTTTGGATTTTTTTGTGGTGTTATAATCAAAGTTTGAGATTATGTGGTGTTATAATCCATTTTTTGTAAAATTTGTGGTTGTATTTTAAAAAAAAATCCAAAGTTTTAACCACCAATTTTTAAAATTGGACATTAACCAAAATTATAAAAGTAGATATTCTGACTAATTTAGTAATATATTACATAATAACATTATAAGGGCCTGTCAGTTCAGTTCAGTTCAATTCAGCTCAATTTAGTTCAGTTCAGTTCAGTTCAGCTCAGTTCAGTTTAGTTTAGCTCAGCTCCTAATTTCCTTCTCTTATAAAATATTCATTTCACTTCAGTTCAGCTCAGCTCAGTTCAGTTCAGTTCAGTTCAGTTCAGTTCAGCTGAGTTCAGTCGATGAGAGCATCCCCTAATACCATTTTTATAATAATAGTAAATAATCTTAAATAAAATATAATATATAAATATTGAAAAAATTAAAGTGATGCATTTTACAAAACTAGAAGAAGCAATTTGAATTTTCTTGGATACGAATGATTGTAATCCGTTCATTTGAAAAATAAAAGCAGGATTATATCAATAAAGTAACTAAAGTTCAAAGATAATTAGACATTAATCTTCGGTAGTGTTCAATTATTTTAATAGCCCACCAACTTTGGCCAAACAAAAAGAAACAAAACCCACCTAACCCAACATTTAAAGATTTGCATTTTGCACCACGTACTTGGCATTTTTAATGACCTCAACGTTTCGTGCAAATGGTGCAATTTATGTGACATACGACCTTCCGTTATTCTATTTTCAATGTTCTTACTTCTTTACACATTTGTACAAGAATTGATGCAGAGAAGAACAAGTGTTAGAAGGTAAATGAGTGCATGGAAAATAATGTATTAAAATAAGTCATTGTAAAAAGATGAATAAGTCATAAGTGTAAGCAATACAAAGTAAATATGTTAGATTACATTTTGATAGTATGTTATTTTTACTTTAGGTACGTATGTTCATTACATTTTAATAATATGTTCTTTTCTGTATACTTATATGTTCATTACTTTTATATATCATATTCTTTCCTACAAAACGATTGTATGTTGCACCGTACAGGTGCATATAGGAACCAGCTATTGCAAGATAACAATTAGTGCAACAAAAATATGGAATTAATGAACGTTCATCAATCTGGAAATCACAATGACATTATTATGTGCAGCTTATAAACCATGGGATTGACACATCATTACTGGAGAAATTTAAGTTGGAAACCGATGAATTTTTCAATATGCCAGTTGAAGAAAAGAAGAAATATTGGCAAACACCAGGCGAGGTGGAAGGATTTGGGCAAGCCTTCGTTGTATCTGAAGAGCAAAAACTTGATTGGGCTGATATTTTCTTCTTGACAACGCTTCCTAAACATCAACGCAAACCCAACTTGCTTCCCATGCTACCATTGCCTTACAGGTTCCTTCTCTTTCTCCTATCTAACATTTAACTATACTTATTACTCTGTAGAATGCACTCATGCAAATGCATATGAAAAAGGAAAAAATAAACATAAAATACCTATGTTGGAAGATATGATAATTTATTTACAAATACATTTATATGTATTAGTATAGCTTTTACAAGAAAATAGAATGCAGAAAAATTGAGGATTAAGGATTTGGAGGACTATGACGAAAAGTTGAAAAATTAACTTGATTTTGAATTTCAGTTAATTCCTTTCAACAATTTTTTTCTTCTTCTAATTTTAGTCAAATTGCTGCAACAAAAAGAAAATTAAGTAAATTATTGGCCACTAAATATCTCTATATCAAGGGTTCTCCCTAATAACTGTGATTAAGGAGTGTTTTCACATTTACTGAAGTGAAATGATTAAAGCTGAACTGATTTTAATAGAGCTGAAATGAATATTTTATGAGAGAAAGAAAGTAGAAGCTGAATTAAACTGAACTGATTGGAGCTAAACTAAACTGAATTGCCTAAAGATAGTAAAAGTGTAGCTGAATGGGATTAATAATAATTTATTTAGGATCAACAATTTTAGTCATATATATCACCTTCATTCATAAAAAAAATTTTGTGCAAAATCAACATGTCTAAATGAAATTTCGACCCAAGTCTGTTTAGATATGTATCTTAGTATCCCTAATGAATCATGCATAATTCTACATTTATAAGAAATTTTGTATTGTGATCTATTCTTTCAAATCCAATTTGAAGTCTCATTGTTGGCAATTCCAAACATAGGGATACTATGGAAAATTACTCAATCCAATTGCCAAACTTGGATATGAAACTTCTAGATTGCATGTCAAAAGCTCTAAAGATTGACACTGAAAGAATGACAGAGATGTTTGGAGATCATAAGGGAGCGCATCAATCCTTGAGGATGAACTATTATCCACCATGTCCGCAACCTGAAAAGGTCATCGGTTTAACTCCTCATTCCGATGCCGTCGCTCTCACTATCCTTCTCCAATTCAATGAAGTTGAAGGTCTTCAAATACAGAAGGATGGCAAATGGGTTCCAATTAATCCCCTCCCTAATGCCTTTGTTGTTAACATTGGGGATATCTTGGAGGTAAGCAATTAGTTATCATTTAAGATTTGAACATGCAATTTTCAAATTATATTATGACAAAATTATACTCCCTCCATTTTTTAATACTTGCTCTATTTCTCCATTGCGGAGTTTTAGGAGAAATTGAAGAAAGTAATAAAATAAAGAGGTATTGGGGTAGGTGAAAGAATAAAAAATTGTAAAAAGCAAAAGTAGTGGAGAGAATTAGAGGAGAGAAAATATGATATTAATAAAATATAATTTATGTACATTTTACTAGATGAGAGAAATGAATTAAATATGTAAAAACTTTCCAAATAAGGAAATAAGGCAAGTATTTAAAAACGGTCAAAAAAAGAAAAGTGGAACAAATATTTAAAAACGGAGGGAGTACAAGTATTAATAATGTTTATGAAGTTTTTTTTTTATTATTATTTAAACACTTGTTATTTTGAAAAATAAGCAAATATTTCATTATTAATTAATTAATCCATTGCCATCTAATGTGTTTGTCTTGGTTTTGTACCCCGCCCGATAAGCCTAACTTTCTAAGCTATATTATCCATACTCTTATGTTCTTCAAATTAGGAAGTATTACTCATGTATTGCTTTCATGGATAACATTACTAATTTTAAACATAAATTTCTCACTATATATATATATATATATATATATATATATATATATATATATATATATATATATATTCTTAATAATACGGAGTATTACAGTAACATTTATACTCATAATTAAATTACATATTAATGATCAATGTGTCAAATATAGAGTATCAACGACATGAAGACAAATTAGATAGAGTATCAATGACATGTTTAATTAGTAGGTAGTTTATACATCTTGCTTTGATTTATTATCACATATTTGATTTAATTAATTAATTAGTGATGTATAATATATATTATACTACCTCAGTTAAATGTTATGTGCAACTTTGGGCTATTATTTGTGAGATATAAAATATTCCAAAGTTGCACACTTGCCCATAACATTTAACGGAGGTAGTATAACTTCGTATACTCTAAAAAATTAAACAATTATTTTCAAAGAAGTGTGTATGTCTTGTCGTCTCCATGAATTTTTATTACCATTCAATATCAGAAATTTAATGTTTTTCTGACATTTTTACCTGCATGAAGATTATGAGCAATGGAATATATAAAAGCATATTGCACCGGTCAGTAGTGAATGAAACAAGGGAAATAATATCAGTTGCTGCGTTTCACAGCCCTGCTTTTGATAAGGATATAGGCCCAATTCCCAGCTTAATTACGCCAAATACTCCAGCACGATTTAAACGGGTTAGCTACACTAATTACTTGAAGGGATTATTTACTCGAGCTCTAGACGGGAAATCTTACCTTGATGTCATGAGGATCAATGAACAAGACGCTTAATACAATAATACTACGTATTTCAAAACAAGTTCGTTCCAGTTTATTAGGAAAATTTGCGAGGAAGGTCCTTTTAACTGGTCGACCTTGTGAGAAAGGCCCTTTTATAAAAAAGGTGGCACAAAAGGTCCTTATATCATGTTTGGGTTGTGAGGAGGGTCCTTTGACCATTTTGCGGTGTTGACTTTTTTATTTTCCGGCCAAAAAAAGCCACGTGTAAAGCACGTGACTTATTAAGTTCAATTCCCTTTTTTCCCTATTTTCTCTCATTGTGGGGAGGATTAGCCTTGAATTACTTTGAATAGCCTTCAATTTTAATTTACGGGATTACAATTGAAGTTTTGGTGTTAATTGTTTTCACAAATTAGGGTTTAATAAGGGGAAAAAAGGGGAAAACGAGGGAAAAGAGGAGGGAGAAAAAAGAGAACTTAGATGTGACTTTTTTTGGCCGGAAAATAAAAAAGTCAACGCCGAAAAATGGTCAAAGGACCCTTCTCACAACCCAAACATGATATAAGGACCTTTTGTCCCACCTTTTTTTTATAAAAAGACCTTTCTCACAAGGTCGACCACTTAAAAGGACCTTCCTCACAAATTTTCCAATTTATTATGTGTAACGATATATGCGCAAATAAGCATTTGATGGATGTATGTGAAAAATCACATGTGAATTAGTGTAATAAAGGTTTTGTAATATATATATATATATATATATATATATATATATATATATATATATATATATATATAGGGTTGATTATGTGCGGGGATACTATTGATTATGATTCGGATTCGAGTTACGGAATCAGCACAAGAATTTACTTTCTCTCAAAATTGTGAAGCGAAGACGGATCCACTCAAAAAGTTGTATGAGACAACGAATCGAGAATATGTATTTGGATTCTTAGCCCTTCCATGATTAATTCTTGTTTGATTTTGTTAAATTCGTTTTCATTATCGTTCAATGTCAATTGTAGATGCTGTATGGCTTATATTAATGAAATCTAGTGTCCTTTAGGACTTCTTTCAAAAAAAATATGTTCGCTGGGATACGCATCGCATTGTTGGGGGCGGGATTATGTAACCCAAGTCCCAATAAGTCCCATATGGAAGAAGTAAGGAAGTGATGATTACTTGCTGTCTTGTTGACATAAGAGGCTATGGAAGTTAAAATGCTTTGTTCATGATGGCTCCTATGAAAAGCCCGAGTCCGGATATCAAGCTCCTAGGTTCTTCCATAAATATTGGGATGTGGTAGGGAGTTCGATTGTTAACCTTATGACTAATTGTTTTAGGGAAGGAAAGATTTCGGCTTATGTGAATGAGACTTATATTTGTCTTATCCTTGAAATTGATCAACCGGAAACTATGAATGGTTTTAGGCCTATTGGTTTATGTAATTCAATTTACAAAATCATTACTAAAATCGTTGCTAATAGAATAAAACCTCTCCTTGGAAATTTGATTTATCCGGTCCAATTTAGTTTCATAGAAGGACGATATATCGATGAGAATATTTTAGTTATTGAGGAAATTACTCACTTTTTTAAGAAAGCATGCAAAAAACACCTTATGTCTTTCAAAATCGATATTTCTAAAGCTTATGACAGGTTAGAGTGGGGATTTATAAGAGAAACTTTATTAGGATTAAATTTTCCTAGCTCTCTTGTCGGTCTTATTTTAAGTTGTATCACTACTCCGTCCATTTTTATTTTATGGAGTGGTGAAATCACGGATAGCTTTATTCCTTCTAGAGGTATTAGACAAGGAGATCCCCTTTCCTCGTATATTTTTGTTCTTTGTCTTGAAAGATTATCCTTGATGATAGAACAAAGGGTGGGAGAGGGTCATTAGGAGCCTATAAAAATTGATCATGATGTTAGTGTGTCCCATCTCTTCTATGTCGCTGATGTGTTTCTTTTTGCTAAGGCCTTGGTTAGTAATGTTAGAACTATTAAAGAAGTGCTTCTTGAGTTTGGAACTAAGTCGGGTTTGTTCATTAGTCCTACTAAGTCTAAAGTTATCTTCCCTACTAAAATGTGCTTGTCCCTCAAGAGAACTATCCTTAGTGTTTCTAATATTAAGGGTGCTCCTTTGTTTGGAAAGTATTTAGGGGTGAATATTAGTCCCAATAGACTTAGGATTTCGGATTATATTGATCTCCTTAATAAAACTAAAAATAGAATTAAAGGTTGGCAAGCTAAACTCCTTAACATGGCCGGGAGATGTACCCTAATTAAATTTGTCCTTAACTCGTATCCCATTTATGTTATGCAAACTTCTTTGCTTCCTAATGCCATTATTGATGATTTGGAGGGAAGTTATAGATTTTTCGTTTTGAATAAGGTGGACATAGGACTAGTTGGGAAAAGGTTTACCTTCCCATAGGACTAGGGGGTCTTGGTATGCGCAACCTTAAAATTCTTAGGGCTAGATACTTTAACAGATCAACTTTCCTTAATAGCATTCCTAGGACTAATGACTCTCCTCTTTGGAAGGATATTCTTAAAGGAAAAGATTTACTTATGAAGGGAATTTCCTATAGGATTGGGAATGGGAGGGATAATTGTTTATGGTTTCGTCATTGGGTGGGTTAATCTACTTGATCATAGATAAGCCCATCCCTAATTCTATGGCTCATTGGGGGTTAATCATATCATTAAATTAATTATGGAAGGTGGAACACTAATAAAATAAAACATATCATCCTGGATTATCTTTGCAAGCTTATTGAAAACATCCCCCTCCCCACTATTGCTTCAGTTAAGGATACCCTTTGTTGGGGGCATTGAGACTAATGGTCAATTCACTATTCAAAGTGCTTATAAGTTAGCCGCTAATTTTTTCACGCACCCCTCCTTTCCGTGTATTAGTTGGAAGAAACTATGGCATATCCCTATCCCTTTTAAGTACAAAATGCTAATATGGAACATTGGTCATCAAATTCTGCTTATGGATACTGTTTTGGCCGAAAGAATTGATAATTTTGATCCGGTTTGTGTAAGGGAGATGATCCCATCGTAAGGGGATCCTTCCTTAGATGCCCATGGCCACTAAAAAGCTAGGACTTTACACTTGTTAAGGTGTAGTAGGATTTGAATTCCTGACTGTTTGGGGGACCTTGAATTAGAATTGATTCTATCATCACGCTTTTTTTATAAGAAACAAGTAGGAGTTGCCAATGAGTTTTAGAAAAACTCATAAACCTCGTTCATGCCTTTCTTCCATGTGGAGTTCATGAATAATTAGCACGAATCGTAAGTTTACCCATGCCCAAATCGGTCTACATAAACTAGAAATGAGTTCAGGAGCGAGGGTACTAAAATAACGTTCCCTTTAGGGGGGAATCACTATTCTAGCCCTAGTACGACCTCTACTAGCTCTTCATTTTCTTACAATTTCATCACCAAACAATATATGCAACGTGATACCTAAAACTAAGTTAGTTGATTTTATTTACACACATTAATTCACGTAAGAATTACATTGCAAAGTCGTTATTCTTTATTTAATCAAATTCGTGAATATGACAAGAAATAAACAATATTCGCCTTGGATAAGGTGATCAACCAACAATTAATTCAATTCTAATCTTATTTAACGCAAGATACTATCTGGAATTGATTAATTAAACCTTTTAAAGTGATCAATCAACACAAATTAATTAATTTAAGTTCTTTTAAACAGGAAAATAAGAGTGATTTATCTAAGTGCTCGGGAATTTATCACTTCTCTTTGCTAGATCTCCGTTTAGAACACTTATGGACTCCTTCTTGTTCGGGAACCTCCACCGTAGTAACAAAATATCAAAGGGGTGAGTGTTTAGGACAAGAGAGGTTAGGTAGCACAAGTTCACAAGTTTTTCGCCATAGTTTAGGGTTAATTTCTGTCTGTTTAAGCCTCGGATTAAGCCTCTATTTATAGGGAATGGGTAGGTTTAGGTTTTTGAACATTCTGCCGCAGCAGGTGTCGCGAGCAACTGGGTGAGTCGCGCGCGGAAACCCAGCGCAAGTGATGGAGCTGCGCTGCTAAAGGCAGCGCAACTAATTGTCTTGCACGCGGCTTTATGGTAAGATTCGATTTTCTAATTGTAAAAATTATGAATCTTTCACGAGCGCAACTCTGGCAGTTGCGCTGAGTGTCACGCGCAACTGAATAAGTTGCGCGCGCCAGCCCAGTGCGACCCCTTGAGATGCGTGCGTTATTTTATGCAGCAACGCTTATTTTAACCTAGGCGCTCCGAAATCCGTCATTATTGGGTTTTAAGTACGGGCATAAGCCTAATTATGATCGGATTTAGTTAATTGGACTTTGTTTGGCTCTGTTAGCTTCTTAGTTTGGGCTAGTCTTTTGTGTTTTGTGGTTTAACCAGTTATCCATAAGCATTTTTCACTTCGATTCAACACAAAGATGGTTTTATTTATCGTCATTGCACTTCTTGTCAGGACAGTAGGCCAAAAGTAGGTGTCTACAGTTTGCACTAGATGTGGTCTTGATAAGGAGAGTCATTTGCACTTATTTAGAGATTGTATTAATTCTAGAAATTTATGGTCTAGGATCTTCACTTTAAATAAGATGGACAAAGAGTTTAATTACCAATTTTTTTACAACATTAATTGGGAAGGATGGGTTAATTATAATCTTAGCATGAGAACTATGTTGGGAACGGAGCAACAAATAAACACAATATCGGAAGAATAATAAAATACGAAACGACAAAAACAACACACAATATTTTGCGTGAAAAAACCCCTCCTCAATAAGGGGAAAAACCACGGTCCGGATCTCCACGGACGAAAATAACTTTACAAGCAATAATATCGGGAGTACAATGACCACTACTACAATTACAATATTATATATAATGTATTTTAGAATAGTCTACACTAAGTACCCTTTAACATTGGTACTTATACTAATCCTAAAATGCCCCTCACACTAATATTGTATTTGTCTCTCGTTTGTTCCTCCCTCACTACTAGAGCTATGCTCTACTTCATTTTGCTAGTATGCTTATACTTCTCTTGCTTACCCAAACTCACGGCACTTGCCTAAATTATATAGCAAAATCAATCAAGCTTGCTCTTCAAAGGCTTAACCTTCCACCAACTTGCCAAATAAATGCAAGTATACAAAGTCAAGGTTTTGCCTTAAAGCCTTCTGCCACAACTTGGACTTTCAAGTCCCCTAATTTACTACTACTACTACTCCACCGTCCAACTACAACTATATGCATGCATTTCTTTTTTTTATTTTCTTTCTTACACCATTATTATTATTACTACTAATAATAATAATACTACCTAACTAATTGTGATTTGGGGAGATTAACCCAACAATTTCCTCCCTCGATCCAAATCACCAAACACTTCTACTGCATCACAAAGACGGACCTTCTTCTCGAAATTTGTCACAGTCTTGTTTTTGTGGTCTTGAACTACTCGGCCCTCCAAATAACAAATATTGTTATTGGCCTTCTTACCTTGCAACACCAAGCGGTTGCCTTAGTGTAGACACCCATTTGTGTCTCCCCAAAACCAAACCCAGTGATGAGTACCTTTCGCGTCGAATCATAATCGAATGAAGTGAAAGTGTGGAAAGTCTAGCGTTGGGGATAGTTTTAATTTCTTTTCTTTTCTCTCTATTTTTGAAAACTTATTTTAAGAAAAAAGCCAATCTAG